ACTATATTCTTAATAACTTTTACTAGATAATGATGAGAGTAAATATTAAATGAATTTGTAGCATTTAAATTTACTTAACAAACGTTAGTGCAAATCATTTGCAGGATTTTCTCAAGTAAATCTTACAAGTTATTTTTTTACAGTGTAGTTGAGTAATGAGTGTAGGTGCTTAAGTGAGTCCATGTGGAAGGCTCACCCTCCCCYTTACAGTTCATATGTATTGTTTGTTTGTGTCTCTTTTTGTGCCGGTTCCAATTCAGCCTGGCCCACCGAGAGGCTCTGTAATTATGCCCTAATGCCCTCATCTGTAGCAGAAGACTGCAGGGAGCCCTTTGAGAGGCGTCACATTCAGCTCATCCAGATGGAGTTTGGGTCTGAAAGCTGCAGTTTTTAGTTTGTGTGTCTTCTGTCGTCTTTAGTCATGGCTGTGCTGCTGCTGATATGCAGCTCAAACATCTGTCTTTAGGGCACAAAATGACACGGCATATTTTAATGTAGTCTGTAGTTAGCGTTTGGACAGTGATGCTTTTTTGTTGAGCTGTCTGCTAGAGTACTCCAGGCTCGCTACGGGATAATTACTGTGAGGTTTAWGTGGTAACTCTGAAGGGGAACTGCTCTGATTTTACTCTTCAAAGTGTGTTTACATGTTTAAGGCGGTACTGTTGCGTACATAGGACCAGTTGCATAAAGCCCCTTGTAGTTCCACAGGGAACTGTGTGAAGTCTGTTTGTTTGACTCAGGAGATTAAAAGTGACGCACAGCTGATATTTCTTTTTTATATAGCCTTTCTGACAATTCACAAATTTCCATCTTGCATGTCTGGCTGCCCTGTATTTATTTATATAACAGAATGGAAAAAAAACATTCAGTCATTTTTGTACAAGATCAGTACAATTAGAAAGTAAAACTGGGTTGGTTTCGTTACATACATGGTTACAGTTTTCCAAAGAATTTTATTTAACTAATCAAATTCCTATCTCAATCAATTTTTTTTTGCTCTATAGGGAAATTAGAGAATAATAGGCAAAGTTCATGTGAAGCTAATGTTAAGATGATGCACCTCAGTGCGTTTTGGAACAATGGAAGCTATAAGCATGATGGAACGGTGRAATTAGCACATTTTCCCCCCACTTAAATTAATGAATAATTAAAAAAAACTATAGTGATTTCACTATGGAACAACTTCATCATATTAATCACAAACTACATTTCCGATGTGGCTGTATTAAGTCAGGCAACTTTGTTTGTTTCCTTTGTTGTTAGGAAGGAGATGGAAGAAATAACTTTTCACAATAGTTGTTTTCTGTTGAGCCACAAAACTGTAAAACAAACAATGAGACTTATTTAAATCCAGTCCAGGCAGGTGAAACATGTCAGGAATAATAATTACTACATTTTCTCATTTACAGCATTTACAATACACTTTTTTTTCACTGTTTCAAATGTAAACACATTCGTTGGTATGCGGACTTGTTACAGCAGGAGTCCAGGAACTGAGCGTGTCTCGTTACTTTAATCCCTGAATGTAACCTTCTGTCGTTGTGTCCAATGTCTTAGACATGAATGGATTCATATTGTACGTTTTAAATCAGATAATTTGTCTGAATTTGTTCACAAACAATCTGTTGCCTGTGTGCATCTCTTAACACCAGGGATACAGGATCGGACCTGTCCCTGCTTAAATCATTAGAAGGCAGTGCTGCTTGTACAGATGGTCAAAATTATACTGCAGCTCCTCAGGTGTTTTTACCCTTTCACTATAGTGGGTGTGACGTGGAGCGCTGCCAGACACAGCAGATGTTTCAGGTCTTAATTTAAAGGACAGTACTGTTTCAGTTTAGGAGTGAAGCTGCTGCTGCGCATGTTAACAGATTCACACGTGCCAAGTTGTTCAGATTGTTCATAAACTACACGGACGCCCCCCCCAATATGAGTATATGGACACTTAGGGCAATCTCATGGATTTTTTTCAAAAACTAATTAATTTCACATCAGAGCCTGTYTGACGTTAAATAAACAAAACAATAAAATTAAATAACCATTTCCCAATTCACTCTGCCACTAGAAGTAAGTTCCCTGTCCTCCTCTTCCCGCTCCTCTGTGCTGCAGGTGCCATCATCTTCGCTCCACTTTGTCTTTTCCTGTTACAGACAGTCTGCACGTTACACACACACACACACACACACACACACACACACACACACACACACACAAGCCACAGATTTTTCGTGAAATCGACGAATATTTGAAGGTCAAGATGCAGGTAAAGGTCCGAATGGATTGACATGTATGCAGATTGTTGCTTAGCTGGGCCATGAAAGGTCAAGCGGCTAAAGCCTTAACTCTGTCTACATCCCCCAGAATGCCGTGCGGTTTTGGATTGGAGTTCAGTGAAATGATCAATATTCTGTRAGACTTATTTTCTATTGATGTTTATCACGCATTTATTGCGATATACTGTATATCGTTATTGTTTTATCACCCAGCCCTACCAGCAACAATAGTTACCTTTTATTTTTCTATATGCACATTTAGCTCATGTGTACTTCAGAGGATGGATGCCCCATTATTGTGTTCATTGGTAAAGYCTAGGGGCTGCCACCCCATTCAATTGTGCAATTTGTGTTAGACAGCTGGTGTGCGCAGCATATTCCTGCCTGTATAGGTTAAAATGTGTACATTAGACAAACTGTTGATGCATTTGTGAACCTTGTTGCATTCATGTCTTATTGTTTCATATAAATCCTGTATTTGTGAATACTTTTAAGATATTTATTCAAGATTTAGTTGGTCTCCTTTTAAATGTGAGTTGTAGTAATGGTTTAGTGTACACTTGTCACAGCCCCATGTTCTCAGAGCTGAGGAGTGCACTGTCCCCAGAAATGTTTCATTGCAAAGAATGTTTTTCTTACTCTTTCCTTTTATTCTCCACGGCTGTATCATATGCACACGTGACTTTTTTTTCTCGTGGGGGGTGGAACCGTTGTGTGTGCACATTGCATCACTAATGGAAGGGTCATTGGCAGCTGTTTTGAAAATAAAATTTATTTGGCGTTCTCTTGTTCCTGGTGTTCCCACAGTTTTYAAGCTGCGTCATACCAGGTGTTTTTGTTGGCCAATTTTGAGGGCTAAGAGTTTGTTTGTTTTTTTTCCAGTTTATCCTCGTCATATTTTCTCTGGACACTGTTGATGAGTTTTTGTTGCAATATGCATCAGTTTGTGTTTGTGGCATTGGCTACGTTCACACTGCAGGCAAATCCGACCCAAATCCGATTTTTTTGACCCATCTGACT